TGGTATATGTTGTCAAAAAATAAATACAATACAATGATTAATCTCGTGTCTGGCAAGAAGAAAAAACTTTTCACTCCTCATTTCATTCTGTAAGATTATTTGGTAAAAAAAAAAAATGCCAAAGGTAAATAACCAAACTCAGTAACTTCTCAGATTGCATACAGTTTCAAAATGCTCCTTTTAAAAATAAGATTACAATCAAATAACTTACAACTAGCATACAAGTTTTAAAAAAAATGAAAAATGCTGCTGTAGTTTTTGTGAGTATTTAGTATGTTTACATAGGTATGACCTTTTATGAATTAGTTAAGCTATTTGATATTGTTTCTATTACTTTGTTTTTAATCTATAACAATTTGTGATGTTTCTTCACCTGTGGATATCCATTACTCTTGTTTATGATTCAGGCTTTGTCCACAAGTTTTCATTGACCACTTCATATTGCCTTTGTTTCATGACTCCCCCTCAAAAATCTCTGCCAATTTTGAGTGTTGCACAACCGAATATGCACCCTGTATCTCGCTATTCCAAGAGTCATTACAAGCTGGATGAGGTATGTAAAGGAATTCACAAGAACTCCCTTCTCTAACCATCAAGCTGCACTTGACTTAACCTCTCATTCTTGCACTGTCCTCAATGCCATTTTCAGTGGGAGAAACATACCATAAAGTTGGCTTGGTACTTGCACGGGGAGTCGCATAATGTCTTTGTAGAAGTTAGTTTTATGAAAAAAATGTTTTTTTGTTTTTTTTTTTTTGAAGAGGAAGAAGAGACATAGTATCTAAATATTTGCTGCTTTTCTTTCACCTTTGACATTTTTTAGTCATTCATGTTTTTAACAAATCTATGATTTTAATATTTACAAAAAACATGAAATATAACTTCTGGTAAAAAACAAACTTAATTCCAGAAATAATTAAAAATTTTGTCAAATTTTATTTTAAATCCAATAATCATGATAGATACAAATATTCATATAGTTTATCACAGTAGTAACAAAAAAGTTAACAGCACAGACTTTATTTTTAAATAATATTATTTTCATTTTAATAGAAAGCTAATCAACAGAAAATAATTTTTTTTCACAACTTTTGCTGTTGTCTTTAGACTAAAAACAACAGAAGCTACAATTTGCCTGCTTATGTAATTCTTGTAAGATAGTTTTCAAATTTGGTATAAAAACATATAAAAAGGTTTTGGAAAAAATGTTTTTATAGGTTTCAAACAACAATTGATAAAATATATACCAGAATTTTTGCAGTTTATGACACTGTGTGTGTGCGCACACACACAGACACATTGCACATGGAGGCTAAGAAGGCATTTTATGTATGTATTGAATTTTTAAAGTCAATAGTATTAGAATTTGTATGAGAATATAACACAGATGGGAACTGAGTAGATTGTGAGGTTTCATGTAGTCAAGACATATCTGAGTGAAGCAGGTGTTATTGACAAACAGTTAAGAGTAAAAAGACTTCTCCCTTATAATTCTTTCCTATAATGAACAGCTGTTTGTTTCATCTTGATACATTGTGGCAGAAAGGATATTAAAAGTGTAGATTAGGAGCTTTTTTTAGATAGGCATAAATCTGTTGACCAAATGTTCAAATGCTTTTGGTATAAAATTTCACACTTCTCTGCAGTGAACACTTTGCCAGCAACTGGGGAAAGAAAACAAAAAAACAAATAGGCCTCTTTAAATTCATAATCTCTTTTGAGATTGAAAGATTCTAGTAAACATTTATGGCTGGCTATGGTAAGAGGAAGGTGGGGGTCAATAAATTTGTTGCAGTAAAAAAAAGAAATGTAGAAGTGGATTTCATTTTTTTTCTCCTTTATACTATAGAAATAGCATTGGTTGTCTTACCTTGAGGTTTATCAATGCATTTGACTGCAAGTATTCCTCAGAAAGTGACTGGTGCTGGCTTTCAAATCAGCTAATTGCCTTTTAAATGTATGTATGCTTCAACCATTTATCTATTGAACTAATTTCAAACAAAATTTTACTAAACAACTAATCACAGAGCCATACTTAACAGGGAAAATAAGATATACATTGGTGTAAGTTTAAATTTACACTTACTAGATTGCTTGTTTCATAGAATTACTGTGTAAGTATAAATTGTAAAATGAATCTTAGCCGATCAGGTGTATTGAAAGGATTGTGCTTATGGAATTGTTGTAAATAGTTTGTTGTTGGGAAAGTCTATCAATAGCAAGGACAGTAGAAAAAGTAATCTTTCTTATAGAAAAGCAAAAGCATTTTTAGTGAAATCTTTCATTGTTTATCCAAGACCATAAAGGTTTTTTCTGGTTTGAGAACATTTTAAATTTCTTATTTGTTGGTTATAATTTTGCATTATCTAACTTTTTCCTAGTTAGCTTATGCTTCACTCTTGTACTTTTAAAAGAAAAATAAACACTAAGGTGTCTTGATAAATTTTGGTAGAAAAGCCAATGAAGATAGAAGAAACTTCTGCTCTCCTTAGCAACTACAGGGTGTTCAAGAAGTTACTATGCATTTATATTTTTATTAATAGACATGTTTCAATATAGAATACAGGAGGAGAATGTGAATGAAAATTATAAACAATGTTGTTAAAAACGTATTGGGGTGAAATTTGAAATATAAAAAAATATGATTAGAAAAGTACACAGTAACTTTTTGAACACCCTCTATAAAGGATTTTCTATTCAACAGCTTGCTAACAGTTTTTGTTTGTGTGTGTGTAGTCAGCTCCAAAAGAAAATGATTTTTTTTTTTTTTTTTGCTTCTGATGCACATGTGTATGATACATTCATAGAATAAATATACAAAATGTAGTGTGGAAATTGTAGGCTAGAACTAGCTTTCATTTTGGAAACATTTTCAAAACATTTTTTTTTCTCTAAAAAGTGCCATTATTGGATTGTCTTATTTTCTTTCAAGCAAGTGAGGCTGATTGTATTGATTTTTTTTTATTTAAAGTAGCAAATGTTGGATTGATTTTTACAAAATATGGGATGAAAGCACTTCAAATTAACCATTTATAGAAAAGTGGACATCAAAAACACCAGAATTCTCAATGAAAGATGAGAGCATTGCAAACAGAAAACCTGTAAGCTTTCAGGTTTTAAATGTGAATGTTACTAAAAAATGACCCCCCTCCTCCAGTCTCAATTTTTTTTTCTTTAATGCTCGACCTCTGTTGCTTGCTTGCTTTTTTTTTTTTTTTTTTTTTTTTTTTGCATATGGACTTTGGCAGAAAAACAGTGGGCATCAATTTAATTGTTGTTTATATTTTTATATTTTGAAATGAACATTTTGGGCTTTTGTGGAGGTATTACCAGTTTTTTTGGCGGGGGTGTTTGATGGGGATAATAAAGTATGAAAATTCCTTTTAATCTTTTGTTATATTCCATATGCACACAAATGAATGACTGACATTTAAAAAAAAAAAAACACAATTACCCAAATATTTCACTGGCAGTATTACATTCTTACTTCTTATTTAATCTGACATCTAATGTGAAATATGTGTGTTTATGTTTCTATGGGCATACCTCTGATGGTCGTTCCCTGTCATGGTCTAATGACTATGAGAGCAATACAGTTGGGAGGGTTATCCTTTGTGGCAAGGTCAAAGATGGGGACCTAGACTGTGTGACTAACCCCAAAGGCACCAACAGTGGAAGAAGCGGATGACTATTACAACAAATCTTAATGGTTGAACCAGCAGATGAAGAGGGCTAAGCATGACAGACATGCTACAGAAGGCCCAGTTGAAGTGATAAGTCAGTGGCAATCAATTGCAGTTGCTACATCCTTAGTGTCTACAAATTCCTTCAATGGCAACTTTAATTTTGCTTATAATTTGTTATGAGTATTTCCCAATGATAATTGGGGAGTGATTTCATTTTAGATTTTTTTTTGCTTTATCCTGTGGGGGTGGGGACATGAGTCAATAAAGAATGCTATTTATATTGTCTTTTCAGATTTTAATTCATTTTTGTTCAACAAATGGGGTTTGTTCATGACTGATAGATATGTTTTATGATTGTTATTTTTTATTTCTATGCTTTACCAAAAGTATTCTGCCTTATTTTACATTGCCAGCTAAATTCAATTCTAACTCCTCTTCTATAATATTGTCTTTAAAGTAGTCATTAAAATGATAAAAAATAAAACTGAGCAAATAGATGTTAACCTTGAAGGGCTTCTATCAATTTCTGCAGATCTTGAAAGAATTTCTTCCTGTGTTTTCTCAGAATTAGATATTGGTCTGTTGGCATCTAGTTGGGTCTAAGTATTGGCTTTCATGTGATGCTATTTAAAATCTTTATGACCAATCAGTTCTTTTGGAATGCGAAATATGTCGGCTGTCTGAGGAGGTCACAAAGTAAAATGATAACATTATTAAATGAGATTAAAATCTCATCATTTTACTAAAAATAAATCAGCCACTTGGTAATTCATTAGTAATGTTTATCACTAGTTTTTAGCTGTGTCTTGATGACAACACTTCTGAATATAATAATGTAAATAATGATGATTCCTTATCCCAGAAAATTCAGACACAGAAACATTTTTTCCTGTTCTATAAGTGCTAACTATTTTGAAATAACTGTTTTTGAAGAAGTGGAATTTAGATATATTTTTTTTTATATTTCTGCAAAGTTTTGTATCAATTGTTTCTCTTACTTATAAAATTAATTCCTCACTTTATGGTTTATACACTGTGTAATAGATGACTGAATTACAATCAATTCTGGTCATTATATATATATATATATATATATATATATATATGTTCTTTTTACTTAGTATATCCCAATCTGATTTATGTTTTGACAATTGATTTATCCTCTAATTAGTTACCAATGTGAATGCAGTTTCCTTATCAAAATTGGTTCATAGTTTAACAAATCTCCCAATAGGAAATTGATAAAGCATTGATTATTGTTCATATCTTCAGCCTGAAATGATTTTATATAAAAACCATCGTTTTCTTTTTCAGAGTGTAGATCTCTCCAAATTATCAGATGAAGAACGGTGGAGGTAAGAAATAAGTTTTCAAACATTCTCCTTCTTCACATGAAAGTTACCTGGAATCAGTTTTCTTGCATCAAATAAAATCAATTTGTGATCATGCTGAAAAATTAATTAGTTGCTTATCTTTTCTAGTGCAGAACTTCCTGATGATAAATGTTTGAAAACAATGGCAGCATCAAGTTGATTTATTCTTCCCAACATTTCTTATTCATCCCGAAATCCTATTAGAAATATAATCTTCAGAATGGTTTTAAAATGTAACAAAAAAAAGACATTAACTCAAAATAAAATCCTGAAAAGTTTGAAAATATTTTAGTATTTTATATCTGGACATTTGTTAATTTGTTGTATTGATTTCTACATGGGGTGAATTCTTTATTCACATCTGACTTTGCTGGAGGTTCCTAGTGATTTGTGGCTGGAAACCTATATAAATAAGTCAAGAAGGTTTACTTCCAGAGATCCTTCTCCCAGGTAGCACTTTTATATTGTACTAAATGTGAGGTAGGGTTAGTGGCAATAGTTGATGGAACTTGACAAAAATTCTCTCCTGCTCACACACACACAAGTTCACTAAAAGTTTAGGTGACTTTGAACACAGCCTGCAAACAATGACTTTTCTTGAATCTTGATTTAATGACAGCACATTTTTTTCCAGATGACATTTTATGTGGCTCAGTAATTACATTATAACAGCATTCTATTATATCTATATTTATTAAATATAAACATTTCCTTGATTTTCTCTACAGCCTTTCAATTCCCATTTTGATTTAAAAAAAAAAACACTGGTTTTGTCAGTAATTTTTTTTAATATTGACTACATCTCTACATTTTTGACTAGATAATGGATGCCACACTGATTGAAACAAATTAATTAATCAATGGAGCCAAGTTTGGTAAATCTTCTATGTAAGGAAGACTTTGTTTTAATCTATTAAGTTTAGCTGTGGTTGGGGTGGGGGTCAGCAAAATGACATGTGGATGAGTATTGTCATGCAGCAGTATGACTTTCTGGCTTCTTTGTCCTGTAAATGTCCAAAACTTTGAAGGCTGTGACCCTACTGCTCTGTACTGACAATTTCAATTTCATCAGCAATTTTTAAAATAACTTTTACATCTCACCAAAAACCAAGCAATAACACTTTTCCAAGAAGGTTAGGTTTTGTTCTTGAAGTATCAGGTTGTCATGAATTCAGCTATGAAATTTTTATTCTTTAGATTTTCATTTGTAGTGATATTGTTCTACAAAAATATTTTCTTTTTCTTTTTATATATATATATATATATATATATATATAGGGAAAATATGACATAATTTTTTTTTTTTTATAAGAACAATTTTAGGAAAATCTGACAAACTGGAAAAAAATTTCTGTGACATATTCAGTTTGATGAAGTCCTCAAGGATGAAATGCTTTACACAGGATATTCTTTCCACTGTCAGATTTTCCTAAAATTGTTGATATATACAGGGTGCAATGGATAAATTGTCATCTAAATTATGCAAAAATGAAAATAACACTGACATCTCATTTTAACAGATATATTTACCAAAATTATACAAAAATATCTTGAAATACTAAGTAAATTTATTCAATAAAATTGCCATTGGCTTAAACCCACAGCCTCTAGACAATTTTGGAATCTCCTGGAAGGTCTCTTTAAGTTGTTGAATGCTGCCATAATCCTTGCCTTCTTTTCATCGTTGGTGTTACAAGGAGTTTTGTTGGTCTCTTGCTCAATTGTGCCCTTACTTAATAATCAAGGGTGTTGTAGTCTGGGGAGTTATGTGGCCAGATGTTAGGTGTGATGTGGTTGCAGAAATTTTCTGAGAGCTATGACTGGGTTTTCCTGCTTGTGTGGCATGGTGCAGAGTGCTGTTGCCAGGCATAGGGTCTTCCAGCAGCCACTCTCTGGACAAAGGTAGTGCTGCCTCTTCAAGGAATTTGATGTAGGCCTCCATGTTGAGTTTGATGCCCTCAGCAACAAATTTGGGAGTTCTTTTCTTATCAGAATGATCAGTAAGTTTTTCAAGATGCCATACCTTCGTAATCACCATTAGAATTGTCCATCTCTTTCTGAATCCTCTGCACTATCCTCAGATTGACACCCAGACACTCTGAAATGTTCGTATTGGAGCTTTGTGGTGGAGGGGATTGCGTCATGGTGCCTTTTTTCTCACAGATGGTGCCAACTGACCCTACTACAGTGTGCAATCAACAAAATCAAAAACAAACAACACACATGTGCAAAATAAAAATATAAAATGGCGACAATTTACCCATCGCACCGTGTGTGTGTGTGTGTGTGTACATATATATAATCTCATTTTCCAATATATTTGACAAGAAATGAAATGCAAGTGTAGAAATGTTTCAATCCTCAAATACTTTGCAAACATCTTATAAGTGTTAAGTTTAATTTTCCAATCAATTCTGATATTGAACAAAAGCCATCATCTAAAAGAAAACAAACTTGCAAGTCTCACTTCCAAATTTTTATGATCTACCACTGCATGGTTTATTCTCCAAGTCAAATTCTCCTTTTTTTAACTTTGCAAGCCACTCACAACATTTACTGCTACTAACCAAACTGTAGTGATATGCAAATTAGTATAATTTGCATATGAGCAGGTAGCTCATATATAATAAATGGACACCAACGAGAACGGAAGTTGAATACGAACTTAAGGTATACACATACATAATAATGGTCGCCGATAGGATACTCTTTGGTCCTTGAAGACCCAGAGTACGTGAACACGTGGATTCGTTGCTTTGCTGCTAATGCTAGATGTAAAAAGTTGAAAGACAACAAAAACAGAGGAGGGGAAAATGAAATCACCGACTTGTTCATGGCTACCGCTGGTTGTGAAGCGATTATGAAGGTTGCTACAATGGTTTACCCTCGAGAACTAGAAGAAATGACTTTCAAAGAAATAAGTCAGGTTATTAAGGGAAACATGAGGCCAAAGAAAAGACTGGTGATTGCAGAAAGGACCAAGTTTATGGCAATGAAGCAGGAAGTGGATGAACCGATAGTAAAATATTTACACTGGTTAAGAAGTGCGATAAAATACTGTGAATTCAAAAACTAGGAACAGGCGAGCAGACAACGGAAGAAGAATTAATCCAACTAAGATTAATTGAAGGTATGCATAATTCGCACATAGATATAAGTTAATGGAACAGTTACAACTTACAAACATGCCTTTGAATATGTGTATAGAATTTATACAACAGCAGGAATTAATACATACCTACAACCAAAATAAAAATAAATCCTACAAAGAAATAATGGCTGAAACATATTGCAGTACAAACAAAAAGAAAAATTGTGCGTACTGTGGAAAAATTCATGAAATGAAAAAAAAAAAAATGCCCAGCCTTTGGAAAGACGTGTTCAAAGTGTTTAAAAAAAATCACTTCAAAGAAGTATGTAAAACGAAAAATGTGGAAAGAGTAGAGGATGAAAATAGACAGATTTTTTAAAATGTAAAAAGGATAATATACAAAATACTGGATCTAAGAACAGAGATACAAAAATAAAAGTGAAAATCAACGACTGTATTGTCGAAATGCAAATCGACACAGGTAGTGACGCCAATGATAGTACCCAGAAATTTGTGGGAAAAAATGGGAAAACCGTTTTTAAAAAAAACCAACGACAACTACGCCAGTTTGATGGCTCGATTATAGCAATTATGGGTTACTTTGAAGGTTCAATAGAATTAAAAGAAAAATATGAAATAGTACCCATTATAGTTACAAATTGCGAGAAAACGCATGGACTACTGGGGAATGACGTGTTAAAAATAAATTCAACGAAGTTGATTAATGAGATAGAAATAGAAAAAACAGGAAAATTAAAAACTATGAAGCTAGCCTGAAATTAAAAAGATGTTGTTTCCCCCTCCTACTACGGGCGAGAAAAATACCAGTGCATTTATTACCATTGGTAATAGCTAAATTCAAAGCTAATAAAGGAAGACTTATTAGAACCTGCCCCTCCAGGAGGAAGTAAATGGGCATCACCCATCGTGGTATTGAAAAAAAAGATGGTGACCTGAGAATTTGTGGAGATTATAAAATAGGGGTGAACCATAAAGTTTGTGCTGACTCGCACCCTATTCCAAATGTGGAAGTAGCTTTACATAAGCTTGCTGGAATGAAAGTATTTTCAAGATAGACCTAAAATCAGCTTACCACCAAATACCGATAAATGAAAATTTTAAAGAAGTGACGACTATAAACACACCTATAGGCCTGTTAAGGTGGAAAAGAATGCCGATGGCATAAAAACGGCAAGTGCAATTTTTCAAAAAGCTATTGAAAAAAGTAATAGGAAATGTTGAAAATACCATCTGTTATCAAGACGATATATGTGTTGGAGATTTAAATGAAGATGATTTAAAGAAAAAACTGAAAATATACTGAACCGGCTGAGAGACGCTGGTATGACAATAAATACAAAAAGTGTGTAATCAACAGTAATGAAATATCATTTTTTGGGTTACTCAATATCAAAGGAAGGGATCTCTCAGATAAAGTACTAATAGAGAAAATTCTAAAAGTTGCTACACCAAAAATAAAAAAAATTGGAGTCCTTCTTAGGTTTGGTAAATTTTATAGAAAATATGTACAAAAATATAATGAGTTGACAGAGCCATTTGCTAAGTTAAGAAAAAAAAATGTGGAATTCATTTGGTTAGAACACCAACAGAAAGCCTTTGAAAACTTAAAACAGATTCTGGCAAAAAAAGCCAATAGTACAAATTTTTGACCCTAAGAAGGACATAACTCTAACTACTGACGCTAGTGAGTCGTCCATATCTGGTATTTTGTCACAAGATGGGCATCCCATAATGTATTTATCAAGGAGATTAACAACAACTGAACACAATTATTCGAATATAGAAAGGGAGGCACTAGCCATAGTGTGGACAACGATAGAGCAAGACAGTTTTTGATGGGGAAAAAATTTTGTTGAAAAGTGATCATAGACCACTGGAATTTATTTTCAACCCAAGAAAAGAGCTACCGAAAAGTTACAACGTCCAGAATATTACATTGGGCGATTAGACTGATGGCGTTAGACTTTGACATTGAATATGTTAAAGGGAATACGATACCGCATTTGATGCCTTATCTAGATTGAGGTTTTATAGAGGAGGACAAAAACGACGAGGAATTTGAAGACACATTCGTGCACCTTGTAGAAACCGATGTAATATCTGTAGATAAAATGGCTACTGAAACTACAAATGACCCAGTGTTAAATAGAATAATGTCGAGGATAAAACAGAATCGCTGGGGAAATTGTTCAATGGCTGAAAGACCATTCAAAGAAATTAGACATAGAATGACTATAGAAAACGGGATAATATGTAATGGAGACTTGGTAGTTCCCCAGAAACACAGAGGAGACAGGTTATAAAAAAGTGTACACGATGACGCACATTGTGGGAGTGGCAGCTACGCAAAGAAGATTAAAATTGGAAGCCTGGTGGCGGGGTACTCAAGAGACGTAGAAGACTACGTAAAAAGATGCAAAAAATGCACAGAACTCAGGAATTTTAAGCAAAAGAAAATACATGTATGGCCCCGAGAAGTAGAACCATGGAGCAGAGTACACATGCACCATGCCTTTGTCAATGGGATAGGACTATTATTAATATTAGTAGACGACATTCAGGTTGGCCTGAAGTGGTGAGAGTACCTGATAAAAAAAAGTACCACCGTAAAACAAATATTAAGAGTAATATTTTCGAGGAATGGGACACCGAGAACATTGGTGACTGATAACGCACCAGAATTTGTGGATGCTGATTTGCATGAATGGCTAAGAAAAATAGGATGCAGACCTTACAAGACCCCTCCCTACCACCCTCAAAGTAATGGGGCAGCGGAAAGGATGGTCCTGACGGTAAAGAAGGGCATAAAAGCATGCTTGCAACAGAAGGAGGAAATCGATGCTTTCCTACCAAGATTACTATTAAGTTACAGAACAATCCCACATGCAGGCAGGCCGGAAAGTCCATCTGCCTTAATGGGCAGACAATTAAGGTCCCCTTTGACTATGTCATATGCCACAAATCAAAAGATGTGGTACAAAAGAAATAGGAATATGCAACCAGAGTCAGCCGAATTTATTATGCAGAAAGGACATAATACTGCAATATTAAATAAAGAAAATGGGAACAGTGTTCTAGCTCATGCTGACCAAATAAGATCCCAAGGAGAAGAATCTGATGAGGAAATGCCTTCAGAGATGCCCATTATTGATGTATCAGAAGAGTTAATGCAGAATGAAACTGCGGAGGAAGAAGTAGAGAGAGATGAGTTAGAAGAGGAAGACCAGAGTATGCAAGAGGAACAATTTGATTATAGGGAAAGACATGATAGATCTAGATCTCCAAGGGAAAGGAGAGAGAAAAGGAAGATGTTCAGGAGGGCACAAGAAGAAGTACAAAGAAGTACTCATGCATAAAGCCCCTCCGTTATAGGGAGATGTAGTGATATGCAAATTAGTATAATTTGCATATGAGCATGTAGCTCATATATATAAATGGACACCAACGAGAACGGAAGTTGAATACGAACTTAAGGTATACACGACATAATACAAACTGTTTATAGTCTTCATCACTCATCATGTTTGCTTCTGTTGTGATCTTACCCAACGTGAAAAAAAGCAAAAAAACATGCAGTGTTGCGCATATCTCTTATCTGCTGCTATTTTTATTCTCAGAGACAGGCTTATATATATATATATATATATATATATATAAAAAAAACGTGAACATTGAAGTCAACACTTAGAGGCAAAAGTCTGTTTCATGCTAGATGCTATCGTCAGGCCTGGCTATTGCATCTAGCATGAAACAGACTGTCGCTTCTAAGTGTTGACTTCAATGTTCACTTTTATATTTATGCACGCTCTATCTCTAATATTGAGCACTTTATCCCATAAATATAGCACACCTTAAGAGTATATTTCTTCATATATATATATATATATATAGAGAGAGAGAGATACATAGTAAAAGGTTTGCCACTTAGCTGATTCATGTTACCTTCATCATTTCTGACTACAGAGTTTCGTAGACAGATACTCATCGGGGTGTATCAGCAATTGACTATTCATACTTCTTGATTTTTCTTTTTTATATGCACTTATCATTAGTGCAAGTTTTTTTTCATAGTATGTCTGTTTGCATGTGTGTGTGGATGTGCATTATATATAGTGTGTGTACTGAACTTTTGTACATATATGTAAAATTTCATAAATGTATTTCTAAATTTTAATGTTTTATTTAAAGAAATTGTTGCATACATTCTTTTTTTTTATCATTAATTACTTGTGACTTTTTTCTCTCTAACCTTTAGGATTGAGCACCAACGGCTGCATGAAAAGCACCGTGGCCATGAAGCTATGCACGCTGAGATGGTGCTCATTTTACTGGCCACCTTAGCTGTTGCTCAGGTAGTTCTTATGCAGTGGAAAAAAAGACACTTCAAATCATATCAGGTAAGTAAAATAGATAACCCCTGTCTTGCTAGATTTGTACACTAATAGTAAACAAATTTTATAACCCTTTCATCCTAGTCACCAACTCTGAGTCTGTTGTTAGTTGAAGATTGTCTTTCTAATTGTTGGTAGCAGTTGTGATATTTTGCTCAACCAAAGTTTTGTTCACAAGACCATATTTGGATTTGCTAATAATAGAGATGTTCTTCCTGGAGGTGGATTTGAATGAAGATCAAAATGAAATTGTTTAACATTACATTGTATTATCAAATGCAGAAGTCTTTCAGCTCTAGTTGAAACGTCTTCTAATAGGATTCTGGTGGAGTGAGGATTACATGCATAGAATTTCCTTCAAAACATAACAAAACTGCTGTATTTGACATTAAATTTCCAACAGTAATTTTATTTACTGTATCTACATTGGTGGTTGAAATTCCACTGAAATATGAGGTAAGTTTCATAATGTTTTGAGGCAACTGGATATATTTGTAGCAATCATAGAAAGAGTGATAGAAATTATGTCCATCTTGCACATGTTGATGTTTACTCAGCAGATATTGTACCTATGTGTTACAAGTTGTTCTGTTTATTTGGGGAAATTGATCATGCAACTATGGACGGTACTGCTTCATCATCACTGATCAGAATTTGAACTTCTCCAATCATGATGAATGGTTGCACTTTCAAGAGGGCTCCTTGCTTTGAATGTCTCTTGGGACTCAAGTTCACTCAAGACCACAAGTAGAACTTATATATATATATATACGCACACTCACACAATCCATTGCAAAGATGCTGGAAAAATGGTCAGTTCTTTGTACTGTTCCAGAAATTAACTGACATGCCTAATCTTTATAATAGTCAGATTAGACCAAAAAAAAGTATTGCTGTTATATCAAAATTTCAAAATCATTAATTCAACCTTGTGGGAAGTTTCTTATTTTCTAACCTTACAGTCACTTTTTCACAGATCCAACATTTCAAGCCAATTGCTACTTCCATGGCAAATGTTCAGATGAACTCCATTCTTTAGTGCCACCTGCTCAGACCTTGCTATGTCCACTAGGGCAGGTTGAGTTTGTCACTGTGGTATTGCACTCAATTTGAAAGTTGGGGTTTCACATAATAAATAATGACGGAAAATATTCTTTTCCAAATCGTTACTGGTTTTTTTTTTTTTCTTTTTTTTTTTTTTTGGAAACAAGTTTAAAGATTATGTTTAGGTTCAAAATTGTAGCATTGGAATTTAATTCTGGTGATCAGTGAAGGCCTTATAGCACAGCCTTATAAAATTTACTGAAGCTTTACAAATTGTATATGTACAAGATACATGGCACAAGCACATTATTACTAAATCATTGTGCCATCAAATAAGATCTTCATTTACTTCAAAGGGAAATTATACTAAGCAATTTAGTTATATTATGATGCCAGATACAGTGCTGTAGTTTTAATGTGATTTTCAATAAACAATGCAAATTTAAAACAGTTTTGTCTTATAATTTGTGCTCAGCAGTTTTATGGTGCTATATACATTATTATTTTTATTTTTTTTGTTTTTATTAATTATGATCTAACAAATCTTATCGTAGCCATTTTTTAATCTTTTACAATTTTTTTTATGCAGTTTTTACTTATCGAATACAGTAAAAAAAAAAACTGCATATTTTGCTTGTGGTTTTTTGTTGATTCCTAATTTTGAATTCTGGTTTGAATATATTTTACATTCAATGTATCTAATACAAAATATTAACTTTATTTGGACTTATTGAAATAGTAAAATTTTGAAGTCAGTCTATGAGCAAAAACCTGCAGAAATTATGTATTTCTGTACATTTTTTTTTTTTTTTTGGACAATTTTTAAAAGTAGATGCTGAAAAATGTGTGAAAGCTATTAATCTAATTTTTGGTGTCAGTATCACATCAAACTTCAGCTTTCACACTGAGTGCAATGTTGATTTTTTTTTAAAAAATGTGGAAAATCAACCAGCCCTCATGTCCACAAGGCTGAATCACTACTCAAAAAGCTTATTCCCAGTACCTGCTATCTTGTGGAACAGCCCCTTGTGTGGCTGCTTCTTCTAAACACAACAATCTTAACCTCTTCAAGTCCAAGGTCATTTATTATCTATCTTCTATATCCTTATAATTTTAATTTCCTACTGTCTACTCTTTTATACATATCATACATCTCATTCAGTAACCCTCTACCTTGTGTGGCTCTTGGTGTTAAAAAATATAATACAGCTATGAGGTGCTCTTGTCAGTAGAGAACTGAAAATTACTTGGTAGTCACCCACGTTGGTTTACTTATAATAAGAATAGTCCAAATATCAACGCAATACATCTACTATTTGAAAACCAGATGCCCACAAGAATTTATTTATAGGAAAGTAGGGATTTTGGATTAATATTATTTAAAAGAAATGTGATATGAGTTAATGACAAGGTTGAAGCGATCCTAGCTCATTCTGTCAACCCACTTTGGCAAAAGTAGAGGTGAGTTTGTGAGGTTGGTGACTTAGTTGTGAACAGATTAATAGTTATCCACTGGTTCACACCTTGCCATGGCCTTTTCTCTATTCTCAGCAGATTTTATTGTGGCTAATTAGCACTTGCATTTTAATTTTTTTTCTCTCAATTTATTCCACTCTATTCAGATTTAATCAACATCTTTTTGTTTTTCTTCTTGCCCCACATCCCAAAATCATATCTTGCATCACATCACTTAATTCACTGGCTGCTTCAAATCTCTTTGGGTGGGTCCACATGCCTCAACAAGTAGATGATCATCCTCATCCTGTTACACATTAACGTTTTCATCATCATCATTAGCAGCTCACCTGTTTGTCTGATACAGTGAAAGCAATTGCAGCAGCCGATTTAAGGGAAAACAAGAAAAGTTTGAAAAGTGGAATTCATTGGTTTTCACCTTTTTTATTTCCTTTGGCATAAGGGCATCTTTTTTTCTATATCCTGCCTTCAAAAGATATATTGGCCCTCTCAGTGTGTGTGTGTGTGTGTGTGTGTGATGAAAATGAATTCTAGCAAACAGAAATGGAACTCTTGAATTAATCTGACACCTCATTAAATTTAATTAAATTCTTAGGCAGTAGGTATTTACAAAAATCTAAATGATAAATTTCTCCATCAACAAGATTAATTTTGTACAAAGTTTTGAAAGATACATGGAATTTATAAACCTACAAATGCCCTGATTTTGAAGACAATTATATATTGGATTAAAAGTTGAAAGAGTTTTCAGCAAACATTAATCTTCGTGTTTGCAAAAAAAAATATCAAAAGGATGGTTTTTCCTTTGACACTGCTATTATTTTGTACTACCTTCACTCTCTTGACAATGTTTATTTACAAGATTATAAAAATATGTGAATCAACTACAGTGCAATATTTATTGTTCACCATTTTATAAATAACTCTGAAGACAAGTTTTTTTATTTATAATTTTATAAAAATATCAATGAATTTATAAAACAAAATTTGAATGAACATAATTTTCAGAACAGAATACATTTTCTTCTCAGATTATTTTATATTTGTTTAATTTACCAATTTTTTTCATAATCATGATCTTGAAATCTAAGGCCTGAAACTCCAGCAATTATAGTTTACCCTGCTTCCTACTCTTTTTTGAAAAACATAATTTTGGAAAAGTTTTAAATTATTTCATTTTTTTTTTTTTTTTTTTTTTTTAAATGCCTAGAAAATCTAATGATGGATTTATTTAAATTTTCTTGTTGACTATAAAAAACAAAACGAAGATTGTCCATTTTTCCCTAAATATAAACCAAAATAAATCAGTTTTGACATAAAATGACTGTAAAGAGTTGTTATACTGTTAAAAATCCACTTAAACTTTCTTGTTAATAAACATTTTTTATAAATTTATGAATAAAAATTTTTTAGATTTATTTCTTTATAAATTGGTAAATGATAAACATTGCATTGTATTAGTTGGTCTGCATTTTAAAAATGTTGTAAATATAAAATTATTCTTGTAAATAAGCTAATAGTGTTTAATATTTTTGTTGTAAATTCTCAAGAATAAATGTATAAATTCACTTTCATATGTTTAGCTTTTATTAAAATTTTAATCCTTGCTTCTTAAAAGAATGGATATTGCCATGGGAATGAAGGTAGTTAAAATAATAGCAGTGTCAAGGTGTGTGTGGCGGGGGGGGTCTCTTGACATACCATTTTCTTGTGAGCACAAAGGTTAAAGATGACTACATAATAGTAATGTTTTGATCTTCTCAGGATTTTTGCTTCAAGTGAGAAGTGTGATACATAACATCTATTTGTCAAATCATTCAAATGTAAAGTTGATGATTACTAATAGACATAATACATAAAGTCTTTTTCAAAAGGTGATCAATTACAATTTTTGTTTGATAACAACATCATCATCATTTAAATTTTTCCTGATTATTTTCTTATTTTGAAACTAAGAAAGAAAAAACAAATTATTTCTTGTCATTTTTTTTTCTATATCCTGAAATAAATGTCCATTTGTAATTTTCTTCTTTCAGAGATCCACTTTATTAGGGATGTGGTTAATCCCAGTCATTTTCTGTTTGAAATTCCACTGGGCTAGATTCATCATTATCTGGTTAATATTTTCCATCATCACAGCCTATATAACATTCCGGGCAACCCGCAAACCGCTGACTGGCACAACACCCAGGTAAGAACAAATGGCCAAATGATAGGTGTTTTTTTGTTTAAGTACCTCCCAATTGTGTATTTGGTAGGCTTTGATTTGTAGATCTATTTCCCTTTTCATTGGTGAGGTTTTGTAGTAACACATTCTATTATTTAAATAAATTGAAATTCTTTTGATCAGTTTGTCTTTTGACAATCCATGTTTTCCAAGTTTGACTATATTTTCTTTTTTTTTCTTTTTTTGTGCTAGGTTAGTTTACAAGTGGTTCTTGTCCATTTACAAGTTGAGTTATGGCGTGGGGGTCATTGGTTACGTCCTCATCATGTGCACTCTATTTGGCCTGAATGTGGTGGTGCAGGCCAAGTCACAAGCAGCCATGGATGTTGGCCTGCTTGTTCTCTTCTATGGCCTTTACTTTGGAGTTGTTGGGCGAGACTTTGCTGAAGTCTGTTCAGATACAATGGCAGCTCATATTGGCGTAAGTGCTAACTCATTTTTACTTTCCAATCCTATCAGCTGATATACAAAGGAAGATTCTCTAGTTTTTTTCACTTTCTAAAAATGATTCTAAATTAACATGTAACAGTTAACTATCAAAAAACTGATGGGACTAAATGAGAATTGTCTGTGTGTATTTTTTAATTTTTATCAATGCAGCACCATATCCTTTCCCTGAATGTTTACTAGAGCTTACTTAAGAGTAATATGTTTTTTTTTCGGCATTTCTTTTCTAAAGATATAATAAAAAAATTTCAGAGTTGTTCCCCCCAATCTTTTTTATTAATATTCTGACATGAACCGTTTTCATTATTACATGCATTTTTATGACTTGCTTTGACTATCTTCTGCTGATAGTTTTTTTTTTTTACCCACTATTTCTCTCATCTGAATTTCCAGTTGAAAAAAAAATAATAAACCAATAAATCAAAGATACAGTGATAAAAACATTCAGAGAAAAGAGCCAAGATCTAATAAAATTGAATTCCTTTTCATACAGAAAATGCCATTAATATGTTAGCTTCATTGCTGTTGAAAAGCAAAGGGCTGAATATGACAGCATTTTTATTGTTGTTTTCCTTTCAGTTCTACACAACCACTGGTCTTCCAACAAAAACCCTTGAGCAAAACATGTGTGCTGTTTGTGGGAATGAGATTCTTGTTATGAACAACGAAAATGCTATAATAGAAAAAACCTGCAAATTAACTTGCAGCCATATGTATCCTTTACAACATGATGCACTTGAGAGAGAGCTTCAATTGCACTTTTAGGCATTGTCTGGTTTGATGGCTGAAGGAGTTATGAATTTGTTGCCAGTATTGAAATCCAAGTATAATATGGAATTTGGAAAAACGATTTTCAAAGCATACAAGCAAGATTGGTGCAGTTTGATCTGCCAATCACTAGTAAGTACATTTGTCTACTTCTAAAATCTGCAATACTTATACGGCATATCAACATGTACAGAAAATACATTTACAAATTAACACTTAGGCTCCCAGAAACAGTTTAGTGCTAATACATGAAGCAGAGAGCTTCTCACTAAACTATGAAAAATACACACACACACACACACGGCGAGGTAAAAGTTGTGCACCATAGGTATAATTTATTAAAAGTGTAATTACACATGAAAATTATATGCAATGTTCAAAATGTCCTTCTTTTTCAAAACACATTTCAATTCTGTACCTGCATGATTCATTAACATGTCGGAAAGTTTCCTCTGTCATTTTACTGCATTCATATTTCAATTTTAGTTTCTTTAAGTTCCTCAATATGTCTTGGGCGCGTCTGATAAACAACTGGTTTCAAAAAAAAAATTGTCGTACCTTCCAGCCCTTCTCAGGTGTTTGTCATTGCACTTTATAACTTTCTTGGTATTTTGAACAAAGAGACATGGCCTAGTGGATTAAAGCATAAGTTAAAACATATCTGGTTCCCTGGTAGTTGTGAGTTCAATCCCTGTGTCTGGTAGAGCAATAAAGTGGAAGAAATGGACAAGTGAGTAACCCCACCAGTCTTTTCCACAAAAATATCCCTTAAGTATGGAAAGTGGAATGAAAACCTTCTTACTTCTGTGGATTGAATAAAGGGTTAAGTTCAAAATTTCAATCAGGTACAATGGCTAAAAAAATGGTATCTATAACAACCAAGATGAGCTTCTTGTCTGAATAGTAAGGCATGTAATAGCGGTAGTCATTTTGTTATCACCAAACCTACCATTCTTTCTTTTCATAATGACTAAAGACAAAAAAGTTAATATTTTCATTGTCACTTATGACAGATGAAAACGACTCATTCTTTATTGAGTTGAGGTTTTTGCTTTTATTGTTTAATGTTCTGAGCAAGAAAAATACAAAAAATTCTCTTCACTTGGTTGACATTGTCTATTTCTCCACCATGATTGTATAAAGCAGCATGTAATGATGAATTTTATTTGGGTGGTAACTTTGCAGTAGAGAATATCCTTCAACATTTAACTATGAAATATTTTATAAGAAAAGAAAATAAACATCATTTCACAAATGTGAAATAAAGAAAACAAGCAAATATATTTTTCTTTTTTATATATCAGGATACATAATTTGATTTAAGACTCAATAAAATGAAGTCTGGTTTGCTGAGTTAACCTTTGGGAAATGGCAGCTTCATATGAAGAGATTATCATTGAAGCTTCAGATATTTTGGATGTGACATTGAAGAGACTTGGTTTTATGAACTCCATTTTTGAAATTTGATTTAAAAAAAAATGACTACTTGAACATAACTTCTTTGCTTGTTAGAAAAATCAATGTTTGAAATAATTTTAATCAATTCTGGATGTAAGATCACGAGATTTTGAAATTTATTACTAAAGTGTGGAGAAATGAATCCTATATACGGGACTCTCCTGTTGTTTTTGTATGAAGGGCAAGCAACTCAGTTCTTAAAATCAACAACCAGACTACCTGTACATATCATTTGAGTATTGTGGTGAATCCTTTTGAACCAACCACACTTTTGGGAAGAGCCAAATACAGAGAACTGGTGCACAGTATGCCACAAGGTCCCCAGACGACCCTCTGCAGGTCTTGAATTTAGAGTTGTCTTTCTCCTAGACTGGTTACCACCCAAGGCTAAGCAAGGCAAATGTGAGAATTTTGCACCAAGTATTTAGAAACAAGTAAAAATGTTAGTTTTTAAATTTTTTTAATAATACATACTCATAAATATTCATCAGGCTAACTAAAAATTCTAAGTGTTAAGAATGAAGACTAGAAGAAAAAAATCTGCACTTTTCTGTTGATTTAACATCCCTGACTTTTTAGTTTACTGCCAGGTAAAAATCATTGGATGTGAGAGAGAAATTAAGCCACCTTTTTTTTTCTTTTTTTTAAATTCATTTCAAATGTAGGTCCAAATTTAATGTTTATGGTTGTTTTCTGCCATGTCAACTACAATAAGAAGTTTGATTATCCAATCAAGTCATGGAACATATTGAACAATTCTACCATTTCTTTGGCCATCTTCATGCAACCATGCTCAGATAATAAAATATTTGACCTTGGAGAGCAAGCTTTTTGTTTTTCTTCATTTACAAATTTTCTTAATTGCTTCTATAAACATTAGCAAACATTCCAAATTCTGATGACAGTTGTATATGATAAAGGCATGAACCCAGTTTGCTTTCCAGTTTTAGTTATCATCATGATAGTAAATCATTCAGTTTTACCTCTTGTTAAGCCCATAGTATTAAAATGGCTGTTATTTTCAGTGTCACTCATGACAAGATCAAGGCCAAAAGTTTAACCAACTTCACTTAGTAACTAAAATATATTCAAAGACTACTCTTAAGGGGACTTAATATTCTTATGAAGTTTAAAAGATCGTCATTTAAATGATGATCTCAACTCGGGACAATTGCGGGAGAAAATATACAGCAGTAACAAAAATAGCTAAGGGAGATAATTCATTGTTTCTCCTTTTTTACACAAAGTTTTTTTTTTTACAAATTTTCTCTATATTCTTATCGTAAGTAAACTTCAGCAAAGTTTAACCTTTGGACTGACAAAAAAACACGATGTATCAAAAGGACAGTTTTTATCTTGTCACTGCTATTATTTTATATTCCTTTTGTTTTAAAAAGTTGCTTAGAATAATAACAAAAATGTTTCACACTATTTAGTTGTTAGATTGTTTATTTACTTAATCCATTTTCTATTTAGAAGATTATAAAATATGACTACAATGTAATTATTATTTATCATTTTAAAAAGAACAAATCTTTTTATATAAAAATGTCTAAAGTATAAAACAATAAAATTTAAATAAAAAGGATTTTTCCAGACATTTTCTTATTTTGTATGTCAGATTAATTTTAATTTTGTAACTGTAATTAATGATGCTTAATACAAATGCCCGGTAAAAATGAAACCTGTATTTATATGCAAGGAAAACCTTGTGCACCCAATAAATAGGAAGATACATACTCAAAATATTGAGTGTTCACGGTCTTGCCTAAAATCTAATATTAAAAGAATCTATAAATTCACTAAAATCTCTTCCACTAATCCAAAGAGATTTTAGTGAATTTATGTGATGAGAGCAAATGAAAGAAATGCCTGGAAAATGCATTATTTTTTTTTTCAAAATTTATTAGTTACTTGTTATATTTCATTATAGTTGATTCACATATTTTTATAATTTTGTAAATTTTTATAAATTTATGAATAAACAAATGTTTTCATATTTTTTTCTTTATAAAATGGTAAAGATAAATATTGCATTGGTTCACATGTTTTTATAAACTTATAAATAAACAATCTAATAGCTAAATAAACTGTAAAATTTTTATTAAAAACATTACCAAGGGAATGTACAGTAATAATGGTGTTAAAGATAAAATCATCCTTTTAACAATTCATTTTTTATTTATTTATGTTTTTGCAGGTCCAAAAGTTAAATGTTGCTTAAACTTGTTCAGATTGATTGATTCTTGTTTTGTTTAGAATTTGTTACAGTTGGAACCCAGGGAGCATCTAAAATGATTTAATTTTTCATAACAAATACATATTTATTAAAAAAAAAAAATTGTTGAAATGTTTTAGATATTTTATTTAATTTTTGACAAGAGTTTCTTTCCTTTTTTTTTTTTTTTTATTATAACCCCCAGATCATTGTATGAGGAAACAGTTCAGGTTGGAAATAAAGAACATGTTTTTGGTCTATGCCGATTAATAACTATTAAATGACAAAAAGCAACAGAAATTAGGAAAAAAAACACTTGTCGAAAATTAATAACTCTGCACAATAATAGTTATTTCATTTAATGTATGAAATTTGTCCCAAAATAGTTATATTTGTAAATAAAACAAAGATAAACTCAATAATAATAAAATAGCTTAGTGGTTTCAAAAACTAAATTGATATACTTCAAACATTTAAATAATGATATTTTCTTTTTATAACTTTGTAACAAATATTGTAGCACAATATTTGAATATCATTTAAAAACTCTATCCATGGTTAATATTATTTATTAAAATATATAAAAACAATTTTTGTTTCTCTTTGAAAGTTGTTAAAAAAATTGTTTCTGTCAAGTTTAAAGATAAAGCGTAAGTCGAGTACATTGTGAGATTCTATAAACTTAAACATTAATCTGCAACTGTAACAGCCATTATAAGACAGAAGGAGCAGCTGACACTGCTTCACTTAAATTCAAATACAATTAGGTTTTTAAAATTTCTTACAAAATTGCTGTAAATTTTTATTTTGTTGTTTTGAACTTCAAAGTGAATTCAGTTTCTGATGAATTTCTCCTTAACTGGTGTCTCTCTCAGATTCCATGAGTTCTGTATACGAGGTTGGTGCATTGTAGGTAAAAAACAAACCTGCCCTTACTGTAAAGAAAAAGTAGACCTTCAACGGATGTTTCCAGGACCGTATCCTTTTTTCTTTTTCTTTTAAAAAAAAAAAACAAAAAAAAAAACATGGTAAGTCTTTATAAATGCAGGCAAGACTATATTTTGGTTTGCAAGAAGTAACAAAATAATTGTCTACTTTACTATATTTTTATTGTTTGTTTACTTTTCATTCAACATGAGTGGGAATAAATTTCCATAGCAATCACACACAATTTTAAAACAATTATTTTGTTAACAATGCTGTTGTTTAATTGAAACTAAAACTTTGATAAATGCAAGTTTTTTTTGGGGGGGGGATTGTTTGTTAAACTCTTAAAATAACTACCAGATCCATGTTATTTAGGGTGAACTGGGACAGTGGGGAGTATAATTGAATCTCGTTCAAGAAATGTATTGAAGTGATTATTTTAACTAAATGGATTAGGTCTGCTAGTTGTCTTCCTCCTCATCAACATTTGTTGCATGCATATAATTGCAGATTTTGCAATTGGCAAATGCTATGGAATGTTTAGAGAACTTATTATTCAAGATAACATTTCTTATGAGAATTCAGCCTGCTATTTGTTCTTGAGGCAAAATTTGACTAAACTTATGACATATTACTTGAAAAAAAAGAAGATATGTTAGTTCCAAGTCAGCTCTACACTTATTACTGTTAATAAAGACAGCCTGAAGTAATCAACAGAAAAGAGAAATGGAGGAAAATTACTCTTTTTACACTAAAAGTTTTAATCTTCAATGTTTGACATTAATCACATTAAAAACCTTAAAATGCTAAACTGAAAAAGCTATGAGTAGTATTAATGGAAATTTGGAAAATATGTTCAGTATTTTCTGAATTCAAGTTCTTATAATCTATAGGCTTTTATTTTTTTTTAAATCTCTCTTCAATTTCAATAAGACAGCAGTTGGATTCTGGATAATAATTGCTAATCTTTTTTTCTGATTATGAACCCATTCGGTAGATTGAACAAAGATTATTTTGGAAAGATCTTAGATTGAGGGAAGAGAAAGACACTAATGAAGATTAATTGAATGTCCTTTGTCCAGTAAGATTCTTAATCATGTCTGGAACTAGTCCTTAATTTTGTGTACAGCAAATGACATGAAAAAATAATTCTATATCTTATTTTTAACTTCATTTTTACCTTAACGCCTTCTATTTAGCTGGGAAAAACCACACATTCTTTTTGGTAATCTCCTGGATTGGATCCGCTATATGATTGTGTGGCAGCCTGTCATCATTGTGGTGGTGCAGACCATCAACTGGCTGATTGGGCTGGAGTAAGCAAGCCAACCTTTGCTCTTTTCACTATGCCTGCTGCCACTGCCACAGCAGTGTGCCTTCTTTGTTATCAATCTCGATGGAGGAGGAGCAGGAAGCATATTGGGCCTCTGGTTTACCCCCTCTTCCTCCTTCTTCCAGGTGTGTTCACTCCTCTCTCTTTGGTCCTCCAGGATTGCAGAATTGTGAATTTGACATTTGTGTGTGTTTAAATATTATTATTTATCTGGCCTTATATTCTGGGGAAAAGAAAAAAAAAAAAAAAAAAAAACTACTTCCACAAGTACCAAAATTAAAACCCAACATATTTCTTAGACAAGAGTTTTTTTTTTTTTTTTTTAAATAAAATTATTATAAAATTATGTATATTAATGTTTATTAGTTGGCACTTATTTTTGCCAAATTTTGACTTAATATATCCCCTCACCCACAAAAAAAAAAAAAAAATGACACCAGCTTGATCATAACCAAGGCTGACAATTCAATGCACTTGGAAGACCATTGCATCCTGTAGAACTGCCTATTTCACTTTCAGGTTTACAATGATTTTGTGACTATCATGATCAAACTAATCTCATCCTAAATAAGTTTTCTTCATTAAGGGGAAAAAAAATATTTATACTGAAAATCTTGATAAAGGGGGGGGGAATAAAAAGAAAAAAAGGATCTCCCCCTTGATCAATTTACAAGACATATCTCTAATTTGTTATACTTTGTAGCCTAATAGATATGACTTTTTAATGAAAATTAATGTTTACGAAAATGAACAAAAATGCTTCTTCTGAATATAAGGTCAGATAAAACAAAAAATAAATAAATAAAATCTGCTTAAGGAGCAGCTATTAAAGTTTCTGATTTGTATTTCTGTAGTCTGACCTCAAATCAATTCTTCCCTTGCAACATAAATAAGAGCTCTTCTCACTCCTTGACCCTCAAGCTGGAAATCTAATTTGTTAAGTACATACAGGGAATGATTCTGATTTGCTCCCTGTAGTTTATTGCCTTCTTCAAAATCGTATCTGGACCATTTTTCTTATGTCAACTCTTACATTCAATATTCATCATCCTATTCTCTTTTGTCCAACATGTGGAGGAGTGCTTTTCAAGTAACTAGCAGATTTTTTTTTTTTAACAAAAAAGTTTTTTCGTTTTTATATCTGCAAATGAAAAAAGGAAAAAAAAAAATATGTATGGAATAAAGCAATCTGCTGTCAGGAAGGTCTAATAATAAAAATTATGCAGGTAACACCATTAGTTTTTGTGTATAAAAATGGATCCCTGATTTCTGTTCTTTTGCTCAAATGAGTTTTTACTTGTTTAAAAAAAAAAATAATCCCCCACTCTCATTGTGGCTTTATGCTAGAAAAAGGATGAATACTCAGATTTTAAGAAATCCTCACTAATTGTTGGTCTAGTTTTTTTTTTTTTTTTTTTTTTACTGAGTGTCAATGACATTTGGTAGCGGCTTGATGCAGTTACAACTTTTTCTTTTTTTAGACACCAAAGGCAGCAGCAATGACAACTACCAGGTCTCATTGCACACAGACACACGTCCGTACAAATTGTGAAATGATCTAGAGATTATGAGGGCATTTTTTTTTTTTTTTGTGGGGAAAATCTCTTAAGGCTAAAAAGTACTGAAAGTAGAATTTTAAATTAAATTTAAGCCAACAATGTTTGTTGTGCTTAGAGATCTTATTGCTTTTATGGATTGGGAGAATTTAGAAATAATACCTTTTTATTTTTGCAGCTGCCTAATATTATTAAGGGAGACCCTTTCTAGATTCTCTCATTTTTCAATTCACTTTTCTGCTATTCAATGTTTGTTCAGATTTTGTTATTTTACTGTAAATACATTTGAATAATTATCCTTTTTATTATACAAAAATATGCATAAAGATTTATAAGAAAGCTAACCAGTGTTGTTGTTTTTAATCTAAAACCATTTAGATGCAAATAAGAATGGTTAAAGAAGCAACATGTCATCAAAGGCTCAAAATCTCTTGAAATAGAAGTTATTTTGCATATTAAACTTGCACAATTAAAAAACCAAAACACAATTCCGAAGTATAATTATACATGACAAACAAATAATAAGCCTTACTAATTTGGCAATCCCACTGTTGGTCATTAAAGAAAGCACTTGAAAAATCAGTGAAGAAAATATCAAAACTCAAATAATTGTTGGACTTTTCCAATTTATTATTCACTAAAATGTTGCATTCTTAACCCAACAAAAAAAAAAAATAATAATATCAAGTATGAAGTGGACATGACATGAACACACAGTCTACTGTCGGCCACCACTGCTTGGAGAATGGGAGGGGAGAAGAGACAAGATAATTTCTGTGACACTCTGCCTGCAGAGATCTTAAGATCAGCTGTCAGAATGTGAGGGAAGTGGGTGAGGAGATCTGGCCCTTTTAAAATTTATGTATTGATTTTATTTAGAAAATTGTGGTTGTCTAACAAGATGCCTCTTCTCAAATCACTCAGCCAAGTTTGGTTTGGTTCTTAACTGAATCTCTTTTTAATATTGCTCTTTGTGCACACATCACTTGAATAAATGTGTTTTAAATGAAAGAGGAAAAAGTGGGTAACCAAAGAGAAGAAATGAATGAATGAATGAGATCAGTTGTAATGCAATGAAAATTATTCATGGAATTATAAATCCTGAAGGGGAGTGGGGAAGAACTTAATGGTAGCAAGGAGAATGTAATTTTATTAGGGGTTGGGGAATTGTTTTTATTTTTCCTAGGTCTGTATATTTTGCAATGCAATGGTTCTGTTGAGATACAAACACAACCAAATTCATAGACTTGCCTTCAATATAGTTTTTAAAATGTTCCAGAGTTTCCAGTAACAGAGCCAAGAGAATTTATGGCAAATAAGAAAGCAAGCTATAGGCAAAGCATCCTGGGTTTTCAGCATGGTTCATTAAAAAAAAAAAAAATTCCATGAAATGATTCTAAATGTAAACTTTCAAATAGGCCAAATCCCATCACAGAGAGCAATCAGTTGGCTGAACCATTGGTTAACTGAATAAAAGGTGGGGGAAAGGAATTCCAGTCCTGGTAGTTGTCGACATGTAGGCCAATGAAAAAATGCATACAACTCTCATTCACCATTTATCACACTCATACGTGAGGATGTACTTCTCAACTGGAGCCACCTGATTCCCTGCGATGACGCTTTGCAGCTGGAGCAGAATCTGTCTCAGGCTCCAATACGGGAGGTTCAGAATCTGTAATAGAATAAAGATATTCAAGTACTGCAGTTAATACAATGTTCTCAATCAAAATAGCAAGTTTCTTTTCGCCATTGACAAAAAACTTGAAGACTATATTGAATGTGTGTCAAAGTATTTCACTTCTGATAGTTTTATGACTTATTGGATTTTTAATTCATATTTATTATTATTATTATCATTTTTTTTTTTAAATTGTATTTAATTCTCATTTGTATTCTTTGTACATGTATATATACACACACACACAAACTTTCAGGAACAAAAATCAACACTTGAAAAAAAAAAAATTCTTAAAAAGTGGAATTTCAATTTTTTTTTTATTCATGCTTTGAAAAAATAGTTTTTGTGCTTAAAAAAAAAGTAATCATAATAAAATAAGCATTTGTTATGAGTGGAACTGATGACTGAGAAAAAAAAAAGTGAGTTTATTGGATATTCTTCATAGAACACAGTTATTGCTGCTGCAGGTCATTATGTCATCAATGAGTCAACTGTGTGCTATATTAAAAGAATAGCACTTCCTTGAGGCCGTTTCTGCAGCAACACAAACATTTGTCTCAGGCTGAAACAGCTATTTTTTTTATGGGTGCAGAACTGTCCTAAGAAAAGCATCCCAACAGACTCTTCTTGTTATAATAAGGAAAAGGGTAAAGTCGTTTACATACATCTTTTAAGTAATGAATAGTGAAGGAACTAGCATGAATTCTACAGATTTTCAGACCAACAAAAGTGGTTCTGATAAATATAGAATGAAGTTTGGCCTACAGAATGTTAAAATAATGAGAAAGACTGCATTCACCAAGAATTTCCTGAAATTCTACAGAAAAAAAAAGTGAATGAAACTGCACTGTTTTCGAAGAAAATGCCCCAGTCTTAAATCACAAGAAGAGAAAGAATCAGGCTACAAAAATAATGCTGCTCTGTGCAAATACAGCTGGATATATGATCAAGGCAGCCTTAATTTATAAAGCTGCTAATCCCTGAGCTTTGAGGGGGAAAGAATAAAGCACTGCTGCCAGTGTACCAGATGCCCAAGACCAAATTTACTTTCCTGGAGATTTTTTTTCATCAGTATTTTGTGTCCAAGGCATGTAAGTAGCTTGCAAAAGAGGACCTCCCCTTCAAAATTTTGTTGATATTAGACAATACACTTGGTCAGCCAGAAGATAGAATCTTCAGTGTTATAGTCACTGTGTTGATCTTTATACCTCTGAATATATCTCTGCTTCAGCACCTTGATCAGTGGATTATTAGTTCGTTTAAAATCCATTACATGTGACTGTCAACGGAAAAAAATTGTGCAGGGCATGGATGAGGATCATGATAAAGAACATAATGAAAATGTGGAAAAATTTTAATATTGCAGATGCAATAAGCATGATTAAAAATCTATCCAATTAATAAAACCAGAATCTGTGAAGTGCTGGCAAAAGCTGTGTCAATTATTTCATTGTTCTCACTTTGAAGTCTATAATGATAGACATTGTAAATCTGACAGAGATGTAATGGGAAATTGGGATATTTATTTTGGAGATATTCAAGAGCTGATTGTCAACTCAGTAGCCTAGGGACTAGTGTCAATCTGTTTGAACTGACTGCCCCCCAAGGCTGAAGAAGATGAACCAGCTTATAAATTTTATTGTAGACAACATTTCAGAAGGATTAAGAAGAATAAAGGACAGGCTAAGTTATTTATATGATATTGACTCATAATTGATATATTCAATGAAAGTGAAAGAACTTTCAGTGTATGAAAATATTTTAAGAGGGGGGGGGGAAAGCATACTGAAGTTTCAATGTACTTTCCAAAAGAAAATATAAATACCTGAGATTTCTGTTCCCCTAACGGCTTTCATGCACAAATAAGTATATTGACTGAAGAAAATCAAATATTACTATCTTATTAATTTTTTTTTATTTTTATTTCTTTGTATTTGTATGGCATTGTTTGGAGAATGAAAGAGGACACCCAGAGATCAAGCCACAGTCTACAAAAACATGTAGAATCTAGGGATTTGCTGTTTCTATATAAATGCATTCATACAAGGATTAAAAACGAAAGATTTCATTTCAACAGAAAAATTATATGGATTGCATTTCATGTGATAACTTTTAGCATAATCAAGTATTTTTTATCAAAATAATTTCCCAAATAGGAAAGTGTAAAATTTTTGGGATCGTTAACATAAGAGTTGGCTAGTTAATTATTTAGATGCCAATGACTTAATATCAAATGTACTGATTTTCAAAACATTGTTTAAAATTAAATTTTTTTTTTTTTTTTTTTTTAGAATTGCTTTCTTGTAAGTATGCCAACGAAATCTTCTGAGAAACTTAAGGAGGTTGTAATTTCCTAGAATTTTTTTTTTTTTTTTTATATATATTTTTCTTTATTCTTGCTTTACAAATATAGAAAAAATAAAATGCTGCACGGGGGATATCGATTTATAGTGAGTGGTCTCCCTTTATCTTTTTTTTTTTTTTTTTTTTAAATTTTAAACTTAAGCGAATTTTGGATAAGTTAAAAAGTTATTGTGGATTCCAATCTCATGAAAATTAAGCGAGATCTGTATAGGTTTTGCTTTTAGGTGAAATAATTTTTTAAGCTTTTTTTTCTTTTTCTTTTCTTTGTTTTTTCCCAAGCCAAGAACTTGAGCAAAACTAAAAATGTTACAAACCCTAAAAATAAGTTGTGGGATTTGAATCTTAGAAAAAAAAAATCATCTCACAACACAGGATTGTCAAAACCATGTATAAACCCTGAACCACAATATGTGATATAACATTAAACATCATGTAAACAAATGGTCATATTACTTAATATTTTCTACTGATATTTTAAACATTCAAGAACCATGATTAGTCATATAAAAAAATTGGGAATGTGGATGTAGCGTATGAGCATGAAATGATAATGTGAAATCAGTCTTTTTAAAAGCATGAAATATTTACTTCACTACATGGGAGACAATGAAGTAGAAATTGAAAACATTTCATTTGGCAGTTGATCATTAAGATTTACTGTTAAATCTATCTTATCAGAGAAATACCAAGGATTCTTACACATTAATATATTTGGTATTTAGAAAGCTAACAAAAAAACAAAACATACTAATATTGGACATTATTCTGAGCAGTCTTGTCTTAGAACAGCCTACACTTTTTTTTTTTTTTAAATGATGCTTCAGGAATGATCTTGATCACTAGTGCGGGACATGTAAACAATTTCTCTGGACAACCTATTGTTGGCTTATTATTTTTGCATACATTGAAACACAAATTAAAAACTACTCACCATTTGTGTCTTCAGCACTATCTTTAGTTTGTGAAGTCCTATCTTCTCCCATCATGCTCCTTGCTGAAAGACATCATCAAATTTAGAATACACAAATTCAATACAACAACTTGTTATAGTTGGACAATTGCCTTAAATACTTTCATTTATTTCTTATGAATTTAATAAGACCCCAGATCTATTTTTTGCTTGGAGCCATAAATTTCTGTTTATATGCATTTGAATAAATTTAAATAATCTACTGACTAAAGAGATTATTATTCCTTTCCTCCTTGAATGAAATTTCTATACTTGCTCTCCAAACAGCAATTTGACTAACGTACTTAGTAAGCAGCAGCAACAAGTTTAAAGAGAGCATACAGAAAAAAAGTTCTCTTATAAAATGTAAATATTGGTGATAGATTTACGATTTTGTCAAAAACATTTAAATTAATTAAAATAAGATTTTCTGTCTCTGAAAAAAAGAAGAAAAAAAATTTTTTTTACATTGACTTTCAAAACCATGGTGATAGAAATCAGTAGTAGTCATTTTTAAATTAAGGAATATATTTATTTCATATTATTGGGTTGGCCACTAAGTTTATTTAGTTTATTAAGAGAATTTTTTTTAATTTTTGACATTATATTTATTGAACAATGTATTTAGTTTTGTTCTATTACCTTTTGACATTTTTCGGCCAACTTCATAATTTCCAAGAAATTTTATCTTTCTTGATTAATAAATGTTCTAAATGAATTTTGAAGTCTTCCAGGATAATAAATTTAAAAAAAAAAAAATTCTGTAAAGACCAGAATAAACGGAGTGAATGAAAACTAACAGCTAATCGGTAACAATTTTTGGCTGGTTAATAAAAAAACATTTGGTGTAATGTCATCTTGATTGAATATCATACTTTTTGTCTTCACTAATTCCTGATGGATGCTCACAAATTAGTTAAAACAAAATGTATGATATTCAATCAAGATGACATTACACCAAATGTTTCTTTTAATTGAGACTGTAGTACTGAATTTTTTGCTTCTCTGGAAGGGACACACAGAAAACTCCCTTCCACCCCACCATATATACGGCACCCCCTTTTTTGGATGAAGACCAATCTTTGATAGGGCGAGTTATGGTTCAAATTCAAGTTGCCCCACAAACTTGCAATCTATATTGTTGCCAAGTATTCACTTTTCATTTCCCATTACAATGTCTTAAAAACAACATTTAAATATAGATCCTCCCACCACCATTATGTAGAAGTCACACATCAAAGTGACTAATGTAATTGCTGTAAATGATTTTAATCATTTGATTGACATTATCAGTATGTGGGTTCCTATAATAATTTTTAGATCAACCTTAACTGGTCTAGCCAACTACAGAGCACTGTTCAGTATGAAACTGTAAACCACTTTCGACACATTTGATTATTCACAGTACCTTCTCCATAAACAGCACAAATCTTTATTTTTTTTTGCATTTGAGTCAAGTTTCTTTTAAAAATAGTACAATATGCTGAAAACGTTATTTTCTTCTATCTTCAATGTAGGAATCAAACTACTATAATACAATCAAGAGTGAAGAGCAATGCCTTTGAATGAAGTTTGTTAAAACTAACCACTCCTTGTGCCTCTACCAACACAGCCCAATAATTTCAGATTTAAAAAATGTATGGAGATTTATACAGAACAGTTTCTTTTCTTGGGTATTGATTATCTCAATTATAGAACTTTACCAATATGATACTTAATACTTTTCTCTTCAAATTTGCATTCTAATAACCACCTCTTCCTGCCAGTATAAATCTCAGTACACCATGCAACAAAATAGTAGTTCTAAGTTCTCATAAACAAATAGAAGATTTAGTATGTTCAAGAATTTTGTCTAAGAATGGATACTTAAAAGAGAATTCATATATTACATAATTTCATTATTTTTTTTAAAATCTCAGAATTGCATGCAATTTAATCAGATTTGTCCAGCATTAAAATGAAGGATAAGAAAAAAAAGAAACAGTTCAGTTGACAGACTTACCCATTCGCATGTCAGGATCGGCTTCAGTGCTATCCTGTGAGTAATCCTGATTTGACTGGTCTGGGAATGACATATTGGAGTTGGAGTCATCATTCATACAGGTGTTTCCAGCACCGTACATGTCACTGTAGTTGGATCCCTGCGACTGCATTGTGTTCCCTTCATCTGTGTACAGGGATGAGCCTACAAGATCAGTATGACAAGTAGAACATGCAAGTGCCCGTCTGCCCTGGGCTCCCCACCTTTTCACTACATCACACACAAATACACACAGACCAAGAAGAGGTTCTGTTACAATTCAACACACTTTCCAAGAACTCTTGGTCATCATCTTGCATAATATTGCAGTTCTCCAACTAAACCATTCATTTATTTCAATACATAAATATGAAGAAATCTTTAGTGATTTAAACTTCAGAAGTCCATTTACAGATGAATTATTATATATACTTAAATAATATAAGAGCAATGGAATTTTATTTTGAATATATATATATATATATATATATATATATATATATATATATATCCCCAAATTTGACAAAAGTTTAATTGAATTGAAAATCTATCAGTATTGTTTAACTCCTGAAGAAAATTTTTTTTTCTTACAATTTTTAATAAAATTTTCTGAATCAAATCAAAAAATAATTTTCAAGTAGAGGTTAAAATAAATAAATGATATGCAGAAATCAATAAATCTGTATCCCAAATGTCTGTTGAAGAGCATCTGGATGTCTAGGCATTAGAAAATCTGAGGCTGACATCACATAGATAGAAACACTTTATCATAGCAATTAGCCTTATTTTACACCAGAAAATAACTTATATTTTGTCTGAAAAGAGAAACCACTGGAATAATACCTTAAATTCTGCTAGACTTTTGAAATTATACATTTTATAAAGTACTGTTGTTGCTTCATACTCCACAAGACCAGGGATATTTATTTATTAACCTCTTTCATATGGTACTGTGCGAAGCAGATGCAGTTAACATCATATGAACCTGAGCATTAAACAGGATGTCATATTTAGAGGATTAGAAATACAAAAGATAATAGAATAATCATCTAGTCATTAATTTCATCTAGCAGAGACCACCTCCAATGGTCAGTTTTTGTTGTTTCAGTACTAAAACACATTGTGACCAAATTATTCACTTGGGTCAACCAATCACACAAATCACAACAGGTGGGGAAAAAAATAAAATAAATGAAATGAACAAAACATCAGTAATGAAAAAAATAATTTTTTTTAAATGTTTTTCTACTTTAATACTTTGGGTTGCAAGGTTTTATATCAGTTGTTTTTAGATTTGGATTCAAATGGTAAAATTTTATAAAAATAATAAAAAAAATGCTGATGAATCATTTTTTATTTTAATGTTTTTATCACTTTTGTAACAATGAATTTATCAATAAGACAGAAGGATGGACCCATCCTCTATCACTTTTACAAATGCTATCAACTTCTTCCATTAGAATGGAATGTTATATAACTTACAATAATGGAAAGGCTATTATAATTTTAAAGTTAACATTAAATAATAATATCAGTTAAATTTAAATTAGTAAAACTCTTAGTGATAAATATGTTTTATTATTACTTAGAATGAGAAATAAATTCTAAAATGTTGCAAATCTTTTAGCAAAGAAATCATCACCAACAGTAAAACTGTAACCCTCAAATCCTATCCCACTGATCAACCACAAAGATTTGACAAACTAGCTTGATTCTTTTAAATATCTTCTAAGTTTTCATTATTTTTTTGAAATTTTTATTCATTCAATTAAAAATAAGAAAACTTGAAAATATTATAAACAGTATTTATGAAATTTAACTATCATAATAAACAAACATTTTTAAAAGTGTTTAAAACTACTAAAATTTTAAAGCCTTACAAGAGAATAGATTTTAAGATCTAATGACAAGTGATATTTTATTGACAGATTTTTTTTTTTTTTACTTAAACAAAAATTAAAGCAAACACAGATCAATAAAAAAAAATGAAACCTCTGAAGACACAAAGAGGCATAAAAAATCAGAATCAATTTGTTGATTTCTATTTTTTTTTCCAAGTCAAAAAAACTTATGCAGTAATAATCAAGAAGAAAAATTGACATACAAATTCTAAATTAAAAAAAACAAACAAACATGAAGAAATCCAATTAAATCGGAGAGAAAAGTAAAAGAAAACACATCCCACAAATCTAGACATAAACATATGAGGTAGTAGCGGCAGTCAAATCCCAGCCCAAGTGAACAATCCAGGGGTCATTTACTACATACTAGTAGGGGTCACTACCTGGACAGACATTACTCGAGTTTAATCACTCCACCCTGCCTTTACTCACATCTTTTCTCAAAGCTTAGAACACAGTTTGCCAATGTAAAGATGAAAATTGCTTTTGGAAGAAATTCAACTTTAGTTTTTCATTTTTTCATGACTTTGTGGCACATCAACACCTTTATAGGTCATGTTGCACAAAACTGTTATGCATAAAGAATAGATGACAAATGACAATATGGCTAAAGAGTAATAGATTTACTGCAAGCATTATCATTGTCACTTTTATGGATTTACTTACAATCTAATTATCATTAAATAAATTAATTTGTGTCCAAAAAGTAAAAAAATGAAAATCATAACAACAATTTTATTGTTCTTATGATAGACATTAATCAATGATTTGATAGCGAACAAAAATGTCCTTTTTATGACAACAAAGCAAATGAAAATATTGTTGTCTTTGTTTTAAAAAATAAAAACAGTATTAACTTATTTTCTTAAGATAAAATCATTTTTGTGAATAAAAAAAAAAAGAAAAAAGATAGAGCAATGAAAACTGAGAAAAATGATTAGAATTTGGGGACACTCTAAATAGTACAAAATAAATTGTAAAAGACAAAAAGACATTGCAAAATTCAAAACAGGTAACATTCCTTAACCTAATAGAAGGAGAATTAAACTGTAGACCATCAAAACTGTAAAAAATATTATAGAACATTGTCACATAGGATTTTACAAGCATAAAACTAACAGTGCTTCTACCATTTCAATCAATATTTACAAGGACAAAATGAATAACAAATAGTATACCTGTCTTGAGTGTGACTGGTCATTAAACTCACCAACCTCGAACTTAATAGTTAACAGTTCAATAATCTACAGTTGAGTTAGACTTGTTAATGCAGTAATAAGCATGCAAAAGAAATTAATTGTATATTTCCTTTTGAAAAAAAAATCTTTCTGTGTTAATATAAGGTTAGGGAAGAAAACATATTGCAAACAAGACTTTCCTTTGTCAACTTTTTCTGAGCAAACTAAAGCAAATGGCAGAAGTCAGCAATAGAAACAAGCAGTAACAATTGTGTCCAGGTAATGTCCACCATAAGGGAAAGTCATAAATGGATATAAAAATAATATTAAGTATACAGCCAACACTTAAAACAAATGCAACCTGCTTATTTTCTATATCAGAATAGATGTAGAGACAGGGTTGTTTTTTTTTTTTTTTTTCCTTAAGATGCCTAGACCAATCTCAATCAAACTGCATTTTCTTCATATATCCAAATTTTTCAAACTATTCAGAAAGATTGGAGAACCTTTGGGAAAAAAAAACCAGAAAAATTTGAACTATAAAATTATGTAAGTTAAACTATAATATAATAAACTCAAGTTTACATTTTATGGATCAAATTATTTTAATTTATTTTTTTCTCCTAAACTATTGCAATTTTTATAAAATTCTGTGATCAGGAAATATGAGTAACAGATAGATCATTTCACAAGTTTGGTTAAGATTATCCCAGACATCTTTTAGAAAAAGCACAGGAATACACATGCATACTTTCTCTGTAATATAGATAGCTTTTTTGTAGTAACAACTACACAACTTGAAGCAGCTTTAATGAAACTGTCTAAACACACAACTAACATTTCAGCCAGGATTTTTTTAAAGGGGGAGGATGTAGAAACTTTAATTCAAATTCATATAAGACTTTTAAAATTTAATTTTCAGCATATATATATAAATGCTGTATTGACTAATAAGCTTTAAAATTCATTTTTGTTAATATATAAATGTAAAAACACTTAATAGATTAATACAATTCTTTTGAATTTTGTTAGACAGGGTGTTTTAGTCATTGAATGTGGTTTAACTTTAGACTAATTTTCCTCATCTTTGTTATTTTTCACATTTAATTTGTTTATCCTCCAAAATGTGAAAAGACAAACAACAAAAACAAGAAAATTAATCCAAAGAAGTTCACTTACAATGGCTAGTTCAAATTGAATTTGTTTTTCAAGAAATATTTCTCTCCATACATTATAAATTATATAAAATACACAAAAATGTTTGAAAAAAATACATTACATCTAAGTAATTTTTGTAATTTGTGCCAAAAGTTGCATTGATTGATTCATTTTCTATGGTTTATCAACCCATTGCAGGTTATTTAAAGCCAAAAAATATTTTTAGTTTGTAAGATTTTTTTTTAGATGATAATGATTTAGCAATACAAGTCTTATTAATTAACCCATAGCTGAGGGAGAAGAAGTGGATTCTTTGCATGTAAATGAATTTAACAAACACAACTAGAACAGGAACTCAGCTTTCCAATTAAGAACTCTAAGCAATTATCAATTACACCACCCAAACATCCAAGCTTACAGCACCTGATATTCCCAAGCGCCCCCCCTCCCCATCAAGATACTGACTAGGCTCCATGTTGCTTAACTTTGGTGATCATATGATGACTGGAGTTTCAACATGATGTGGCCATAAGCCTGTGCCAAGAGGGAAATATCTATATGGATATAATGCTATTACTGAAACATTTTACAAAGGGAATGAAAGCAGAATCATAACGATAAGTTCATTGCTACTAGAGTTGTAATGAAAAAGAATAAATTAAAAATTAAATTTTTAAAAATTCATGTAAAAATCTCAAACAAGAAGCTACTTTTTGGACACCAAATATAATCTTATTAAAGAAACAATCTGTCCTAGAAATATTGTGATCAGTTTCAGAAGCGACTAAGAATGTAAAACAAAAGATGAAGCAGAAAGAGTGATGAAAATAATAACAATAATAATAAATGAGTCTGATTGAGAGTGTCGTACTACCATTGGCAGATAGGCTGTCCTCGAGGGGCGGCACGTTGCCAGGCATCAGCGAGGAACAGTTAGAAGTAACATCGGCTGCAGAATCCGCTGCAGGAGAAGGGTCGTGGCCATTGTTCTTAGCTTCAGAGGAGGAGGAGGAGGAGGAGGAGGCATTGGCTACACTAGAAGCAGGAGGAGGAGGAGTGGTCTTGTTGCCATCTTGGTTGGCACTACTGGCAGACACGCTGCCATCTAGTGGCGGGGACTTGGACGAGACTGATCGAGCTACACAAACAGCGCCAGCAGGAGGTAGGGAAAAAAAAAGAAAAAAAAAAAAAAAAATATGCAAGACATAAATCCAGGGGAATTATTAAAATAAAATAAGAGGACACATAAAATAAAATACATTCAAAAAAATAAATAAAAATAAATAAATAAGTGATTTTCTTTACCTGGCCTTATATTTTGACTATGCCTTTATTTTTTCACCCATAACTCTTCATCTTTAATTTGGTCACTTTGAAGTTACAGAAAATATAAAAACATATGCAAATGAATTTGAATAATCAAAAGGTAAAATAAGAGCTCTAAGACTGGACATTGTTTTTCCTTACTAACAAAAATACCATATTAAGTTTTATCTTTTACTTTGAAAAAGCTGATCTATTCTTTCTCAAAACATTGTTTCAAATCAATGCAGTTATTTTTCTCAGTTGAACAATTTGAGGGAGTAAGAAATTTATTGATAGATTCATTTTCTATAGCTTATCAATTCTTTGCAGGCTATTTAAAGTCATAAAATATTTTTAGATTGTAAGAATTTTTTTTTTGGAGATAATGATTTAGTGATACAAGTCTTATTAACCCATAGCTGAGGGGGAAGTGGTGGATTTATACCTTTCCCAAGGATATTTGTGCATAAGTGAGTATAATGAATTACTATGACATTGGAACTTGGTTTTCCGATTAACAATCCCAAGACATTATCCATTACACCACCCACACATCGAAGCTTACAGAACCTGGTATACTCAAGTGATCATCCATCTAAGTACTGACCAGGCTCAATTTTGCTTAACCTTGGTGATTGTACAGGAGACAGTATTCCAACGTGACGTGCCCATAAGCAGAGAGAGAGAGAGAGAGAGAAAGAGTTTTCCATCATTACAACTGATAAAAAAACAGAAAACTGACGATAATTTTTTTTCCCAAAGTTGTATTATTATAATTCATCTTACTCTTGTTTTCTGTAACTTAAAAAAAATTCTTAAAAGAGGCATATTCATAATATGAGGCTAGGTAGAAAGTTATAAAAAACAAAAAATAAGAACAAAATTTTTCAAACTCAAGCAATGCATAGACAGGCCAACACTACAAAATACAAGCAATAGTAATAGCAATTGTAACAATAACAGTAGTAGTAGTAGTAATATGGTATGGGTGGGGGGAATCAGGAAGCAAGAGCAGTCATGTGGTGAACAATGGTGGTAAAAGTTTAGTAGTTCACCATCCTCAAGTATTAAATAAGTGTGTGCAATGGAAGAAGGGTAAACAAGAATTGAATAATTTATGGACAAGCAACAGCTTCATAACAATTCTAGTGTCAAACAAGTCAGGTATTTTTTTTCCACCTTTTAAAAGTTCTGATTATGATTTTAGGGGCATTGAATGCCACAAAACATTAAACCACATTATATTAAACCTATTTCTTATTAATCTTCCATCAAAGATGTCAACTGGTTATAAATATAGTTTTTATATTAAATATAATCTCATAGAATAATCATAGAGTCAAACAAACATTTAGACAGATTCTTTTCAAAATAGATTTTTTTTTCTTCAACTACTGATGTTTCAAACTGAAACTCAATCATAAGTCAATGATAACCTGAAAGAATTGTGCAAAGGAGGGATTGTCAACTACTTTTTTTTCCCATATATTTAGCAAAAAATAAAAAATTTTCTTGCTTATGACACTGTAAATTAAATAGAAGAACATATTTTAATTCTAATCTCCATGAGTAAAGCACAAAAAAACATGTAAAAAAAATAAAATGTATTTGTATTTCTGAGATAAAGAATCAATTAAAAGCTTGGAAATTTCCTAAAATTCATCCGTTTGTTGTGCTGGTTTTTAATCGAAGGTTTTTGATTGATTTTTACAGCTTATCAACTTTTTGCAGGTTATTTAGAGCCAGAAAATATTTTTAAATTATAAGAATTTTTAGGAAATAATTATTTAGTGATACAAGTCCTACTAATTAACCCATAGCTGGGGAGTGGGATAGAACTGGTGGATTCATGCTTTCCCCAAGAGTATTTGTACATAAATAAATATAACGAACCCAACCGGAATTGGAACATTGTTCTCTGATTCCCAATTCCAAGCTATTATCATTACACCACCCGCACATCCAAACTTATAGCAGTTTGTATTTCCAAGCGGTCACCCACCTTGCTTAATTTTGGTTATTGTATAAGGACTGGTGTTTCAACATGATATGACTGTAAAGCCTTAATCAAAGGTCAGATTTCTTCCTGATTAAGTAAAATTGAAAATCACCACAATTTTTATACTATGAAACCTTCGTTTCTAACCAAACTGTCATAAATGTGTCTAACTTCTTTTAGAACACTACTTTCTGTTGAGAAAATAAAAGGATTAGAGAGATGGCACTCATATAAATGTAGCAGTTTTATCAACATTGGTAAATTGATGCAGCAGCAATATTCTAGAGAAGTTTCTCATTAAGAGAGTAAAGCTCTCAAAAGGTGATAAATTGTATAAAATTACAACAGTTCATTTATACATTAATGACTGTGCAATGGGGACACATTGAACTAATTACAAGATAGTAAGCTTCTTAAAAAATTTAGAAAGTTTCTTCATTGTTTAAATGTATTTGTATCCACCCAACATAATATTTAGGAGGGAACCTCAGATCTCATGGCTAACATTCTGCTGCTATGATAATGTTCAACTTCACAAGCAGTACTTGTGACATGTAAACTTTTGTTTTTCTGGATTTTCAATGATAACACAATGAAAAGATTTTCAACATTTATTAAAGCAATACAATCATTGTTTTGTTTTTTTCTGAAAGCTGCCAATATTAAAATCTGCCGAGATGGAATTATTATTGACTTTTTTTTTCTTTTGCAGGCAAACAATATCTGCAGAACCAGAGTTTATAATCAATTCAAATAGCTTGGTATCATTAAACTTAGAATTGTAGACCCATAAAGCCAGAAATCAAAGCAGGTAACCCACTGTGTCATAGAAAGGAAAACAATGAATCTTTTAATGACTTGGATGGATGACTGTGTGTGTTTTGTATTGCTAAAATATATTTTTTCTAGCGGCTCTCTACCAAACAGAATGACTGCAGATCTTTAAGATGACAAGAGAAAGTATAATTCTGGTGGGAAAATTTACCTTATACATATATTGTGCTGTACATCTTTAGAAACTTCTCTGAAGACCAACTATTTACTAAAGTGGTAAGAGGAGGGGGAGAAAGAAACCAAACACCCAACTTTAGTGACTGTCTACTTACCTAACCTAAATACCTGACTTATCCATCCATTAAACCTTGTTGTTCAAACAGCATGAATAATATTGAAAATTTAAAATGAAAATGGCAAAAAGAATAAATAAAAATAAAATAAAAACAATAAAGGAAAGCCTATTGATATATTATTGGTTACCCTTCTTCCAGCAGAGATCATGAAATCAATCTGTAAAAACAAACTTACAAAATCGGTGAGACAATAACACTAATCAAAGTCAATAAAAAAAAAATAAAGCAAAAAGATACAAACAAAAGTACAAATAAAACATTTCAAATATCAAAACTCAAGATTCATTCAAAATTGATGTTTCTTCACTCAATAGGAAACTGCTTTGTAATCTGACATATACAAAATTCACTACAAAGGTGCTTCAAACAACACTGTTTTTTTTTTTTTTAATATAATCATTTCAAACAGTGTATTTTTAATGCACAAAATTTTAAACAGATGCCACTAAGTGTAGAGATAGAAGCCCTAATCAAAATGTAATTTGGACAAAATCAACAGCAATTCCCTGTTTGCTTACATCACTTAACCAAATCATTTTTTATCACATTTTATACAATTTTTAACAGCTCTGTTGATGCTTAACTTCAAAGAGCTGATGAAAAAAAAATGTTTTTTTTTTTTTTATATTAAATAATTCTAGTTTACACATATGTAAGCACATAATTATTTCACTCTATTTGGTATCCTTTATATAAATTTGGTTAAAGACCAACAAATGTTCTTTGTCAAGGAGTTTTTCTTTATTCTTTTCTATATTTTGGACTATTTTTTCCAGTTACTACTGAAAGTTTAAATATAAATTGTTAAATATCTGAATACTTTTGCCTTTCATAAACTATTTGAAAACAATTTTTGTTTCTTGTGCTATGCTAGTTTCATTGTTTTTCAAATATTATGTCTTTAGGTGTCAAATCAGTTTTTTAAAGTATAACATCATCACATGTCAGCTTGCATTATGTATATTTTTTTTTTTTTTTACATCAAAATGTTATCAAATTTAGGAACAAACAATAAATATATTTCATAAATAAAAAAGATAACACAAACTGATATGTGAAGATTGGACAAGTGAAGACATGATATTTGAAAAACAATGAAACCAACAAAAAAGTCTTTGATAATGACTTATGAAAGCCAAAAGTAATCAGATATTCAACCATTTATATTTAAACTTTCACTGGGAACCAGAAAAGTAGTTAAAATATATGTTAAAAAAAAAAAAAAATGAATAAAACCAAAAGTATTCTTAACAAAGAACTTTCATTGGTTATAACGAAACTCATATAAATGAAGCAAGGAAGCGTAATGGATAATGGCTTGAACTGGGGGTAAGGATCAGAGTGCTAAGTTCAAATTCCAGTCAAGTTTGTTACCTTCACTAATGCACAAACACCCTTTTCCTCTAGCTATGGATAAATATCAAGAGATACTGGGTCCTATTAGCCATGAGTGGCAACCAGACTATGAGAAAGACAACTCTGAATTCAAAAACTTCCAATTATGGGCTAAATAGCCACACCTACCCACAATTAGCCATGTCTGGTGAGTACGGCTACACCCCTGAATTGGAATGGGGTTCCTCCAAAGAGTGAGAAGGAACTGGATCTGTTTGAGTGAACTTTTATCCATGGTATCTTCCTTTTTATGTAAATGAAAAATTGCTGTCCAAATGCGCACTATACATGGTTATAATTTGAAAAAAA